CCAAGCGAACCGGTCTAATGATACCAAATTCACGGTGAAGTGGTACCAGGTTCATCTGGAAATACCAGAACACTACTTGTACATCGAGTGGCCCCCGCAAGTCATTGCATAGGTGGCATCGCATTCGGTAAGCCACTGCGAAACTGAATGCAGGTAGCATTCGTCCGCATCCCAAAAAGGGTTTGATCAGCATCAAAGGCTTTGAGACTTCAACCTGAAAGTTCTGTTAGTCCGTCATGGTGATTGGCATCGAAAATAGAATCCTAAATAAGGTGACTGGCAAGGTGATTAGTGAGAAGAAAGCCGTCGAGTAGTGTAGGAACAGCGGTGCTCCAAAATTAGTTCATTGATTTGTGATGGTCTCAAAATATGCTCCGAAAACCTTGCTCGAGTCTGACTGAGAGATCGGCGAAAGCGCGGAAGGGGTGGGTGGATTGTTTGAGCAAATATCCGATGGCAACGGAAGTATCCTTCACCACAGTATCTCGCACCTCATAATCGCCTATTCCACTTCCCCTTTTTACCAGTCAATCGATATCAAAACTTCTGGTCTTACCAGTAGTCATCTCTCTGATACTCTGGATACGTTCTCCCACCCTTTCATCGAAAATATGCAAATATCACAAAAGTGGTAGATCGGCTGACTTTGGCATGGGATAAAATATTCAATGGTGATGGCTTCTAATAAAAATTATTTTGTGGCTGAAGATTTTGAACGCACGAAGATCAGGCGATCATTCGCACACTTGCGACGTAGCGCTGCTACCTGTTCAGTATTTGCTTTGTTCTCAAGAATCGAACCCTTTCGTTTGTCAGTTTTATGATGCAGTTCCTTCCGTTCTCTGAGCTTCTCCTCAAAAATCAATCAAAAACTAACATAAATATTGAAATTCCCGTTGAAGATGATTGAACTCTTTTGCTTACTTCACGGAAAAGTATGAGAATATCTTAGTCAGCCTCCCAGGTCATAGGGTTCTCTGCGTGTATCCACGAGGACCGTTTAAAGTATTCTCGGCATTGTGGTAATTAAGCAGTGACGAAGGAATTTGAAGGCAATGGCACGATAATTTGGTACTCGGCCTAAAATGCTAGCAGGGCGCTATATAGTGGGAAAAATGGCGAAAAACGAAGTGAAACGGTCAAAAACCTGCGAAGAAAAGCCTTCGTTCTCAATGACTCAAAAGCAATTTCGGACGAGTTTCCCGTAGGCATCTTGCCAATAACCGCTACGGTAGATACGGCTGCATGTATGTACTCATATATCCATGCAGCACCGCAGCCGCTTCATATCAATCCCTTCGCTTCATATTTTACTTCGCAAATGAAGCAATACGAGCATCAGGTACGGTCGTCCATTTGTGGGCGGGCGGGCGTGGTAGGCGTCCGGGTCGGTATGTTGCAGCTTGATAGAGCCTTGTAGGTTATTCTATTTGGGGAAAACGCTATGCAGCGCCTGCTGAGGGGGCGCAAATTCCGTTCTGCCAGGCTTATTGATCCTACTCGTCCCAGGGATTTATTGTCTCAACTGCCTTTAGATCATTTCATTTGGTAACGAAATCCCTGAGTGAGATAAACTTTCATTCAGTTACCATCAATGCCATTCTACCTGAATTTGGACACAGTATGACTGATGCGACTATGTTGAAGAAGTGATTACTGAGAAGAAATTTAAGAAAAATTGAGAAAAATAAAAAGAAAATTGAGTAAATGAGTAGAGATTAGTACATGTTTCCCAACTAAAAGCAGCAAGAAAGCGTGAAGAGCTGAAGGCGGCATTATTGCACATTTTGGGGACAAGGTGGGGGGGGGGGGAATATTTTTAGAGGATATTGGAAAGTTAGTTCCCTGAGCAAAGAAACATAACGAGGTTATGGGGACCACATGAACTCAGAATTTCTTGTTTTTCTTTATGCCTGTACCGAGAATACATTGAACACCCTCGTAAGTAGCCTACCAGGTCTGAGGGTACTTTCTAACGTAAATAGTGAGCCATGTTTGCGCAGCATTTTGAAGAATTTTCCTGTTACAGGAGTCTCAGGCAGATGATATCCCCTCATCGGGATTGGTAATACCTGAGGAAAGACGGCGTGAGTTGCTTGGTGAAACCAGTGAAGACGAAATCACCGAGTCGATCTCCGAACTACCGTCAATTTCTAAAAGTGTAGGATTCAAAGGAGTGCCAGAGGTATGTCCTACTGCTTTCCCCCTCTATTCCTCTTCATTCCAAACATGTGCTTGTTAGCGCCGCTATTTACGTGATACGTGAGGAGTTTCAAAAACGCTGCGAGAGGGCTGCCGTTGAGTGCCGCTGAAGCGTCGAGTATTTGTCGTTGTCGTGAACAGTTTTGTGTCTTCTAACTCATCGACAAACACACTGATCGCCGCTTCCCCCTCACTGTGGGGCTCAGGCTCACTACCCCTCCCTGCATCGTTGATGACCCGCTGCGCTGTGGGCTGTACTTGTCTTGTGTACTGTATCTGTTACCGTAGTGTGTCGTGTTGTCAAGTGTTCTCGTTTCATGTGCGTGTGTATTTCAGCGTAATTCCAAGGATCATCAGAAAGCGAGTGCATCTGAAGATACACTCAAGGAGAAGGTCTCTTTTCAGACTTGTAGATAACTATATGTTCGCTTAGCACTAACTCAAAATTTAGCAGATGAGCTCCGAGAAGGTTTTGTCGGGCGGTCGCCTGGCATCTCCATTCAAACGCCGACCACTTGTGGAAGACGCGAGCATGGACAGTGTGATATCGGACTCCCTCGATCGGAGCGATTCTATGTCGAGTATTCCGTCGATAGATGCCGATTCTGAAAGCGTGAAACCGAAAACGAAGAAGGTGACTAAAACCAAACTGATCAAAAAGGCCATCGCAGCTAACGGCAAAACACCGGAATCTGACAGCGAACGGGCCAAGAAACTGCCTGATAGTCCGATGGTGAAACGGAAGTTGAAAGCATCACCCGCCAACGACGATGTATGTTTGTTAGTCTCTTTGTTAATATTAGAAATTCCTAGTAAATATATGTTTACTAACATTTTGTACTAACAATTGACAATTTAGTTTCTATGTGTTTCCATTCTTTCATCGCAGCGACCAACGGAAAACGCGGCGGACTGACTGACTGACTTCTGCATTTGCTAAAAACTCAATGTGTGTTTTGTTCCCTCTAACTCCTTTTCTGTAAAAGAGGCTATTTTCGAAGATTTTTTATTTCCAATTTATCAATCATTTCTTAAAGATGATAACGGACATACGCAATGGAAAAGTATATTGTAGTCCAAAACAATTATGCATACTTCAGCATTCCGTTACTTAGTTGACTCGATCACTGTAACTTGGCGGTTGAATACATTAGTCTAATGCCTCCTTGTTAACGAGTCAGTTACAGCTTTAATCGAGTAGGTTACTCTTTATAAAGAACATTCCGAGGTGCTTCGGCATCAATTACGGTTTCTTCCACCATCGATAATGATGGAATAGCAGTTCACGTTAATTGCATCCTCACTTTAACTTTTATGGTTTACATTTCTCTTTCCCTCATCGTCTCTCCGATAGAGCGTTGTTTCTCACCTGGAGTCGGCCCAGCTTCCTCAGCCATGCGAGGGTTGTATCAAAGGTCGAAACCTCCGCTTATTGTTTCTCTCTGACCAGATATCCTAGACGTTAAGTTGCTCCGTTCAACTGCGCCTACTAAATTCGCCTACTGAATCTCCTAATGAAATCGCTAGACAATACAGTAGGCCGCCCGCCGAGGCTATGCGGAATTACGTACAGATTCAGTAAGACGGAGTAGCGAGTTTTTTTCGAAGATTCCTCATAGTGCAAGACACGTTGGTGGGACCAAATTAGATTATGACTGTTGAAGTTTTTTCTCGCTGAGTAGTGACCAAGGGCTCTCGATAGTTTGAGTTTCTCCATAGAAGCCGAAAATCCGACTCAAACGCCTATTAATACTGCTAATGATTTAATTGCGCTTTGACGTGATAGGCAAGTTGATATTGTTCTAAGAAGCTCCGAGTTTTCTTACTTCTAATATAAAACGTTCGGCGGCGAGGGGGCATTTTGCACTTCAGCTGCATCACTATTTCCAGTTCACAAGCCCCATTTGGTGAAACGTGTGAAGTCTTGTGAATCTGGGGCAAGCTTGTCTAGCCATCATGGTAGAACCTCTCAATTCTTGAGCTCACGATATGGCTCTCTAGATAGGTGCTACGTCTATAGGAAGTAGCCGAAGTGCAAAGCGCCCCCCCCTCCTGTCGCCGAACTGCCCCATGACGTAAGTGATTTAGTGTACGCACGAGACGGACGTATATTAATTATATATTGACGCCAAACTGCCACATACGAGTCAACTACATAGCTAACGATGGCCAGTTTGCGCGCAGTAGCGATATCGGTTGTCCTGAGCTACAGTGATTGTCACAGAAGTAAGTCTGGGCGTGCCAGTAGAGGGAGGGTTTTAGCGCCGTACCAGATTGATTTCCATTGTTTTTACATCTTGCTGTGTTCAACGAGTGATGGGGAAGGGGCCGCGCCGCGCCAAACCCAGCCCCTGACACGCCCCGACTGAGCTTTCAGCAGATGTAAGAGGAGTGATAACGACTGTATGCAACGGAAAACTTATTCATCCAGGGAAATTCTTCTCAAAACGTAAATAACTTGCAGATGCGAAAAAGGCGATTACGTATAGCCATGAAGAGAAAATTAGACCCTCCGCAGTATTCTCTTGAGCGTGCGAAAAAAGTGACGAAACTGTTACCGTCCAGTAAAGCGGTAACGCCCGCGTTATGGCAAATAGTTTCAGCCCCTGACAAAACTTCTGACTTACTGAGCCCATACCATTGAATGGCAGCCGGCCAAACTAGTCGCCAGCTCTTCACCTTTTTTCTTCTATACAGGGTTATTTAATAAACAATATTCCAATCCTTTTCTACCGCTACTATTTCTCTACTGTATCTGGCTCTCGACTAAAAGATCTTTTTCTCCTGTCCTACTATTTCTGTTCTATCCGACAAATTTCCAGCTTTTCCTCTCATTCCAGGATGACAAGCCGAAGAAAAAACGACACAGCGAAGCCGACGTTTCACCTCGAGTACGGCAATCTATCTGCACTTAACTTTTTATAACATAGCTCTTATAGTTAGATTACTAACGTAACCAAACGTTTACTAGCTGCGACATTTAACCGTTAACCAAATTTTTCCATTAGAAGTTTTCAACGTTATCAATATTCACTTTCGAGTGTCTTAGTCAGTTTCCTTCGAGTGACTTTTGCAGCAACAAGACGCCAGCAAGTCCGAAAAAGCCTCTGGGAAGCTTCAACCGCAGACACAGAAATTTGGGAAAAAGACCAGCCTCCCAGCCGCCTCACACGATGACAAGGACAGCCTTCTGAACCTGAAGCTTATGTTGAAGAAAACACCCAAAGCTCAAAAACAGGACGAAGGCGCTTTGGCTGGTGTGAAGCTGAAACCAGTAATTCGTAGCGATGACCTAAGCGAAGCGTCTGGAAGCGATCTGGACTCATCTCGAAGGGACTCCATTTCTCTGAATCCGTCCCTCCGCAGAGTTGGCGAGTCCAGAGCTGAAGCAGCAGTGAGCGACCCACATTTGCTTTGCTCCTTCTTCGCTCCTTTCTGCTGCATGCGATCACACTTTTCGCCTCCTTCCAATGCTAACCTTTCCTCAGCAATTAGCTTACACATCATGTGTGCATAATTAGATAATAGCAGTATTTCCACGACGTGTATTTTTCTTTTTTTAGCGCAGAAGCAGTGTGGACATGCGTCGCGAGTCAGTACAAGAAATCATGAGTCGGGTAGTTACGCCGCTCATTCCATCCGGAGAAAAGGGCAAACCGCCACGAATCATGGAAGTTCCGGAAAATGTCACTGTTGTCGAAAGTAAGCCTTTCATCATATTTTCTGAAGATGAACTGTTTCTTCCAATTTGAGCACACGAAAATGCTGCCTCGCCCCAATTAGTGCTCATTCGTTATGTACAGTCGTCATCCGGGCAGTTGATAAGGCGGTCAAAGTTGCAGACGCGGCTGCGGCGCGTCACGACCGCGGCGATCAGCTGTTTCCAGCATGTTTGGCCATTTTCTCCTAACTTTTCACTGTTTTTGGCTGCTTTCTTAAGGTTAGTTGTTCCTTGTCTTCACAAGGTAAATTATGATTGAGATTTCTCTAATTTTTGCGAACAATTAAATGATTAAAGGATATTAAAATTGCAAAAACACTTCATTAAAAACAAAAGAAGGTCCACACCATATACTTCATGGAGACAAAAAACAACTTGCCTTGGAAAAAATAAAATAATAATGAAAATTTAGAGGGGAAAATGGCTAAATAGGCTGGAAACAGCTGATCGCCGCGGTCGTGACGCACCGCAGCCGCGTCTGCGACCCTTTGACCGCCTAATCAACTGTCCCGGATGATGACTGTTGGACACTGCAGTGGTGGTATCGGATCATATTGCCAGGGAGGCATTCCTCTGATTTTTTTATTTCTGCCGCATTACGTTCGGGGAAAAAAGTTGGTGGCGTTCAGAACCGCTATTTCCGATAGTTGATCGGAGGTGTCCGCATTCCTTCGATCTAATGAAAGGTTGGGGAGACGGAAGGTAGGGTAAGAAAGAAGGTTGTAGATTGCACTGAAGCAGTACTTTGGCGTACCTAGTGGAAATATTGTGCAGCACAGTGTGCCCTGGTCGCAATAGGTCAGAATATACCCAGAAAAATACAGCTCTGAACGCAAACGCCCGAGTACTGATCCCTGCCCTGCTTGGAACATGCAAGGGAAGGATCAAGGGCTGAACAAGGCAGGATTATGGCTCGATAACTCCGCCCATTGTTTTCCTACTGATAAGGTATCCCAGAAGTTCGAGCAGCTCCGTTCATTTGAGCCCTTAATGGCATAAAAAACGAACAGTCTCAATTGTGATTTCAGCTAGGCAATCGCGGTTTTAGGTGAGGGTTTTTCACGCAGCCCCACTGGAGGATAGATAGAGGAGCCAGTGGTAACCGCAGTTTTAGGCAGAAATATGAACCGACGGGGTTATAACTGAAACATGATACAATCTTACTGGTACATTCCAACCTATGGGTAGTCTTAGGAAATCATTTCAAACTTTCCCAAGCTGATATACGACATCCTTACTGCTGGTTTGGCGAGTTCTCCAAACGTGCTCTGTGAGACTTCCCTCTTTTGGATCTCAAGCTCTGCTGAAAGTTAACCCTCCAGCGTGCCTTTCATATGAAGTCCTCTTTACATGAGGACCGATTCATGCTGTATTCTACGTTTTTCGATCTTTCATCCACTTTCTTTCTATAGTAACGTTCATCGAACCATGTCTACTTTTGACAGAATTGAATTTCTAAACCAAAAATTGAAAATATCTCTTTTTGATAAGTGTTTCGCCATCTGTGAGCTGGGCTTTGATGCACTCTTTATCCCTAAGACGGGGTAGGCGTGGCACTTAGATATAGCATAGAATGGCCTACTCGTGGGATGTTACAGTTCGAGGCAACTACCGTCTTGTTCATTGTTGGACAGAGGCACGTCTACAATCTTGTCGGAACGAAAATGTCTTTCTAAAACAGCACGTTCAGTTGAAAAACCCCAGTCGCACGGTTTTCATATGTTCTTCTGCCTATTGAAACATAGTAAACCGTAGTTGAGAACTGCTAAAGTCAGTCAAATGCACAATACGATCCTTCGCAAACGTCGTTCTCCCCGAAGCACAAGGAACTGAGCTAGAGTAGAGGAGAGCGGTTGACCAAACGCTGGGTTCCTTGGAAGATGCCACTGCCACAACGGCCTTGTCACTGCTTCATCTTTGACAGATTACGACCCAAGTTTTCTTTTTTCTTCACCTTTGAACTCATTCAAG